AAATTTTTTTATTAAATGTTTTTAAAAAAATTAAATATGAAAAAAAGTTAAAAAAGGTCAAAAGCAAAAAACAAAAAAAAATGATATAAAAGGGTCTCAAATATTAAAAAAAAGACTTGAAAAAAATATAATTTTATAATTTTTAAAAGTATTTATTAAATAATTTTAAAAAAAATTAAATAAAAAAAGTAAATCTCAAAAAATGACTTGCGATAATAAAAGGAAACGGAATTGTAAACTACACATCATTTAAGTATGTTAAAAAAAAAATCTTAATTACTTTTTTATTTAAAAAAATGGAAAAAGGATAAAAAAGAAAAAACAAAAGAAAAAATTTGGTATAAGTGAGTCCCATATATAAAAACACAATCTTTACAAATATATATTTTTATAATTTTAAAAAATTTATTAATGTTTTCAAAAGAAAAAGTGAAAAAAAAAGAAAAAAAGAGAAAAATGTATAAAAAAAACAAAAAGGCAAAAAAAATCAAGGGCTGACACGTGGTACCTTATGGATAAGCACTGTTCATTCATATATTACAAAAATTAATGTAATGGATATTACAAAATATTATCAATAAGACTAAAAAGGTTATAAACAAATGTTACATCAGTGCAACTTGCTATTTTGTTTACAAGTACTCAAAAAAATTTTCAATAATCAATTAGTTTTTTAAAAAATAATTACAATTTTTAATATTAAGAACTTCTTATGCAATTTCATAATCAACTTTTTTAAAAAAATTGTTTGATGTTTTTCAGTCAAATTCGCATTTTTGTAATAATAAAGAGTTTCTATTTGTACCTTTCTTTTTTTTAAATTAAAAAAAAATTTATTTTTAAGTAAAATTATTTAGTTACACTTTTTTAAATTTTTTTTCACTTTTAAAATTTTGAATTTGTAAATATAAAAACTTTTAATAATTTAGGAATTTACCTATTAAAAAGCTTTTAAAAGTTTTTATCGCAAATTGTTGAAATAAAAAATAGAAATCTAAAGACCCACAGGTTATAATTGGTTGCTCTTTATATTAAAACTATAATTTTTGTCTATCAATTTCTGAATAAATTTATGATTATTTGAAATAAATTGTGTTTTTTTTTAATGTTTTAAAATATTTTAGGATATGGGATTTTTTTTTCTCAATTGAATTATGGGTTTTATTGGAATGTTAAAAAATTAAATAAATATTTCTAAGATCGGGATGACATTCATTAGATGAGTTTTGTTAAAATTTTTAAATTTTGAAATCTAAATGTAATTGTTTTTTTGAATTTATCTAATGCGACAATCTAACAAATTATAAAATTTATTGAATATACATATTTAATAAATTATATAATTTATCAAATTTTTATAATCAATAATTTGTATAATTTATTAAATATAAATATTCGATAAATTATAAAGTTTACAAAACAAACGTATCGAAGTACTTTTAAAACTAAAATTAGGGTGCAGATAGACTCTAACCATGGTTAAAATGCAAAGGTCAATTGGAACATTTTCTGACCGTATCATTATCATGGTTGGTCACCAAGCGGGGCCTTACAGTTAATCAATAACTTCCCCTGCCTTTGAGCTTTTGTTAATAAACGCCTGAGGCAGTGGCCATAGTATTTAGTAATATATCCATAGGAAATGGGCCGGAAACCAAAGGAAATTAGACAGGAGCAAAATATGGGGTCCAGTCCGGTTCCCCGAAATGAAAATGGCGGGAAGAGAAGCTAATCGCTAGGGCACCCACCGGTTACCTGTGTGTCCTTGAGGTAGACGCACAACTCCTTGTTTTTATTATTATTATTTTTTAATTTGGTTTTTGGTGTCATAGTTCACAATCAATTCAGTTCAGCTTTAAAATTTTTGCAGTTTAAAACGGGTTGGCAGACATGGATTTTAACGAGCCAGAGGAAGAGGAATTCGGGTTCTCGAGAAACTATTTCCTGGCAAAAGAACTGGTTAGTTCTGGAAAAAAATCTGCCAGAAAACTCTCTGACATCAACGTAGTCGACGAACAGGTAGTTGCCTCAAAATTCCCATTAACTCAATCTCCTCATCTAGAGCTTTTATTTTTTTATTGGTTATTTTGGCATTGCAGGAACTCAGAGCAGCTTCAGCTAATATTGAACCAAAGCATCAGAAAGACATTGCAGCTTTAATAAACAGTTACAAAAGTTTATACCCAAAATGGGTTTTTGAGCTAAGATAGTTTAAAGTCTTCTTTTTTGTTTTGTTTTCTATTCCAAGATGTTACCTTGACATTGAGTATTGGCTTAATCTTCCACTTCTTATTCTGTTTTTGGGTTATCTCCAGGTGTGGCTTTGGCCTTCTAATGTATGGGTTTGGATAAAAAAAAGCGTTGATTGAAGATTTTGCTTTAACAGCTTTGGCAGAGTATTCTGTTGTTGTAATCAATGGCTACCTTCAATCAATTAATATAAAACAGGTGCAATTTTCTTTAGATAATATCTCAAGGCTGCTTTATTAGTTTAATAGCTGTTATACTTCTGATGTTCAAATGTTTTTTCTTTTATGAAGGTTTATGGAGCTCTCATTTATTTTTTCTATTAATAACTCCAAATATTTTAAATGTAGGTTGTAATACGGTTGGCTGAGATTCTATGGGAACAATTGAAGTCAAAACGAAGGATTCCATTTGCGAACTTGGCTAAGGTTCAACAGCCATTTAGTTCTCGATCTATAGATGATCTTTTAGCATTTTTAGACGGACCAGAGATGGAGGAGAATGATAGTTTCATATGCATTGTCGTTCATAATATTGATGGATCTGGGTTAAGAGATCATGAAACCCAACAATATCATGCACAACTTGCTTCTTGCTCTCATATACGTGTTGTTGCCTCTATTAACCACGTGAATGCACCTCTTTGTAAATAAACTCTTGTTTCTATAGTCAATCAATAGATGGGCTAGCTAGCTCACTTATCTATTTTAAGTGTTGACATCTATTTTATTAATAATCTTGATAGTTTAGGTGGTCAAGGATAAAAAATGGAAAATATCTTAGAGTTTCAATTTCTCATTGCACTTTTGTCTTTAAATTTAATTTTGGCCAAATTTGTTTCTGATTATGCTGGCTTTTTTTTGGATGCTACAAAGAATATGGTAATGTTTTATGTGCTTTTTCATAGCAATAATTTGTATGCTTTAATGGGAGAAAGAAAATCAGATAGGGTGGCAGCAACATTTTATTATATGACTTTCAAATAGTGAATATGTTTCACTCTAGTCTTGAACAATGTCCGACCTTGTGAGAAAACCTACTAAATGGAAATGTGTTTGTCATCATGCCAATCACCAAAGAAAATATCTTTCTTAGGAGGTTGGGGCGTCTTTATTAATGTTCTTATGTGGTTTTCCAATAGATGTTGTAATAAATTCCCTTCTTGAAAGGAATGCAGAAAACTAGCATTGTAGAATATTAAAGATGTTCATGTCATTGATCCTGATAATACAACTTGGCTTTGATGCCTGTGTGGGACAAGAAGATGGTTCATACACAATTTAACTGGTACTGGTACCATGTTCCTACGTTTGCACCATGCAAGGTTGTGGGGCTCTTTCTTCCTATGATTCTTGCACTTGGCAGTAGTAACAAGAGTGCCAAAACAGCTGTGATAGTTTTACAGAGTTTGACACCTAATGCTCAGAGTGTCTTCAGGATTCTTGCAGAATATCAACTGTCTCATCCTGATGATGAAGGTATGTAATTGTTTGGGATTTGGAATATCATTTTTGTCAGTTTAGGTCTTAATATACTTAGTGATATCTTTTTGAGATAGGGATGGCAATTGGTAATCTGTACTCCATCTCTCGGGAGCGCTTCCTTGTCAGCTGCCAGGTTACACTGAATGCTCATTTGACTGAGTTCAAAGATCATGAGTTAGTTAAAACCAGAAGGCATTCTGATGGCCAGGATTGCTTGTATATTCCTCTTGCAATGGAGGCCCTTGAAAAATTATTATCTGAGATTGGTTGATATATATATATATATATATATATATAGAGAGAGAGAGAGAGAGAGAGAGAGAGAGAGAGAGAGAGGGATAAACTTATACAGCGTAAAACTAAAAAAAAAAATTTACATATTTTTCTAACCATTTATTCCATAGATCCAAGGATGAGATTAAACTATTTTTTTTTCCGTTTTTACTTGTCTCTTTCTTCTTTTGGATTTATTGAAATTTATAGTTAGAAAAACATGTAAAATTTTTTAAATTTTATAATGTGTAAGTTGATCCCTTCTCATATATATATATATATATATATATATATTATTTCACCCACTGACAACAGAAATGGAAGAATGTAATCAGAAGTAGCATGCAAGGTCAGTCTTGAATCAAGGTAAAATGGGAGATTTTCTCTTTCATGGTGGCAATTTAGTCATCTTCGGCATGGCCAAATATAATAAAGACATTTGCAATGCCTCTTCAGTTTGTTATGGATAAAATTTGTCTCCAAAAACCAACTTGCTGGGTATTGATTGGATGAGAGCAAAATTTTGGCCGGTAATGAATTTGTATTTTCTGCTCTTAAATGTCCCTGTATTGATTCAGATCTTTGCTTATTGCAAAACTTTTTTTGCATATGATTGCCATCCTGTTACCGTAGCTTGCTTCCATTGATGTGTATCAAATTAGTCATCTCATCAAAGGATGTCTTTTCTTGATGTTTACTCTTTTTCATGTTGTGTGATCTCCTTTGTGAATGGAGACTCGAGAATTTTTCTGGACTGATGACTATGGCACCGTCTTTCTTCTCCTTTAAGAGAAAAAAAAAAAAAAAAACTCTACAAGGCCTAAATGTTCTGTTAAGCAATGATTCAAGTAGGTCATTTCTGGAGGCTTAGCATCTTCCAGTAATGAGGGACTTTTCTAATTCACTTTGCTGTAGTTGGAAGAATAAGGCACCAGTAATTAAAGGGACTGAACAAGATTTTGTTCCAAAGCTTCATATTAAAGACAGGGAGAGTGGTTCATTTACAATCACTGGTCGAATTGGTGTGGCAACATAAGAACAAGAAACAAGCGATATCTATCCAGCTGGCTTGCATAATGATCCCATTTCTGAAACCAGCTAATATAAAATGGTGGCTGCTATAGAACAACTTAACAAGAAATGAGAGATTTGAATGCTCCAGCAGAAAACCATGCAGATACTGGCTGGGACCAAAAATGATGATTTATTACCAGCACTCTCTGTTGCATATTCCACCTGCACCCCACAAGATAGTTTACAATTTTACAATGATGTACATGAAAATCGTATGTAGCAGTCTGTCAAATTGTTGATGGCTAGTTCGGGAATGTGGAAACTTGCCACAACTGACAATATCTGCCTATCTGCCTTTGCTTTTAAAGGCAGGGGAGGGGGTATGGGAACCAGATATGCCTCCTGCCTTTGACTTTGAGTCAAAATTTTGAGCACCTAAGAAAGGAATCGGCGTATTAAACGGCATTGTTTTGGGCTTGCAGTCAAATTAGCTTATTAAAACCCTCTAAGGTTTAGGAATTTTCAATTTATTTGCTACAGTGTATCCTTTTGGACATTGACGAACCAATCTTTTTATCAGGACTTTTCGGGGAGGAGAAAAATGGCTATGCGAAGTGGAAATTGCTATGGGAAAAATGGCTATGGGAACCAATCTTTTTTCAACAGATTCGAGTTTATTTGATCGGTCCATAGCTGCAATTGCCGCTGAAGCATATCGGGCTGCTGAACAAATTCCACCTTCAACGACCGTCTTTGTCTCCGGTAATCTTTCTGTTTAATTTAATTCTAATAATTCATCAAAAACTTGATCTTTGGAATCATTATTCTTGATGGGTTTTTTCAGGGCTTAGCCGAAGAACTACAAACCAAGAACTTCGTAAGGCGTTTGCTAATTTTGGTCATGTTATTCATGGTAACTTGTTTCTTCTCTTTGTCTCTAAATGTACTTGAAAAGGTTCTATTAGAAGGAATCAAACTTCGTACAGTAAAAAATTGTAAGCAGTTTTTTTATCCCAATTGTTAGATTAGTTTTAACATCATGGTACTAAAGACTCAAGGGCAGTAATGTGATGTATGTAGTGATTCAATTCAACTGACAGAATAATTAAGGTAGCTCTTACAACCCCCTTTTTTTTTTTTTTTTTTTTCTGTGTTTGTTTTTGCTTATGTTTTAGCTAAGGTGGTTACAGATCGCTATTCTCTAACCAAGCACTGCGAAGGCTTTGGGTTTGTGAGATAAGCCAATTTTAGAAGATGCAGAAAAGGGAATGAAAGGAATGGATGGACAGGTATATCTCCTTTCTGATTGCTATCTTATTTAGTGACAAGAAAAACATTGGATTCTCCTTTTTTTTTTTTTATTGGAACTGTTCCGTATTTCTACCATTGACGAAAAAGCCAGGCCAGTTGAATCGATAATCAGATACCTGTCAGGTCCGATGAGGTATATAGAACCGAAGAAATGTTGAACTGGTCGAATACCCCGTTAAGATGTGAATCCTTGACCTCTTAGTATTTTATTAATGACCAAGAGACTGAATCAAATACGTTTTTGTTAAACATGCAGAACTGGTTGGACCGAGAACCAATAACCCTACCAGTTCAACTTCTGGCCCAGTTTTTTAAAGCATTGATTTGTACTGCTTTGGTGATGATCATATTTTCAGTTTTTAGTTATTAACCTCAAGTATATAGTTAAGGATTTTAAGGAGTGAACAAGAAGATCCATCAACTTCAATACTGTAGTAACTTTGATGATTGCAGTGGATTTTGATTTTTCAATAACGTTTTTGAAATGTCTCATGGTTAATTGCGAATTAACTTCCATTGCATCTCTTTGTTCTGTTATTTGACGCCGCAGTTGTTCGATGGAAGGTTGATATTTGCAGAGCATGCAAGACCAAAAGGTATCCCAAGACTATCAGCAGCCTCAGATATTGATCAGCATGCCACCTCACCATAAATCAAACATGTTGTCTAACAATGCAAATATTATTATATCAGCATGGCTCAAAGCAATTGGCATGCTTAAGCTCAAAGTATTTGGCCTATCCATTTGACACTAACCTAATATAATAGTTTTCATATTGGAAGACTGATTCCCATCTGTGGACTGTGGTTCTGATATAATCATTTTTGTGATGGAACATGCCTAATCTGTCCTAATTCTAAATCCATGCTAGTGATTCAAAGCTCAAAGTCCACAATATAATGGTTCTAACAAATATACTTTGGTTCTACTGGTTTTTATAAATTCGAATTCAAATTATGTTGTAATTTTGCATTTCCCTGTTTCTTATTAATGAATGATTTATGGTTGTAGGGTAAAGATTGAGGACTTTGTTACGTGAATTATGGCAACATCATGAAGTCTAAGCTTCTCAAATTCAGGCACGTTTAAGTGATACGAAGACAAGCAAATGAACAAATTATTTCAAACTGGTCCATTCCAGACCATCGACAAACTAACTTCGGTCATATGTCTCATTTGGATCGTGCTGTCATTTCCAAATGAATTGTCAATTTGTAATGAGCAATCAATCCATAACTCTAGCAAGCTGCAACTCATTTGTTCAAAGAGACCATGATCAAACAAAGGCTGAGCCTCAGCATAATAAGTTGAGCCAAGCAAAAGTGATTTTTTTTTGGTAAAAAAAAATTCAAAAATAGATAGACTGTTTAATCTCTCAAATCAAAATAAAATGTATTATACCTGATAGTTTAAAATAAATATCTGACAGTTTAAAATAAATGATTACAAATCATTCATTTGAAATGATTCCAAATAGAACTCAGAACCCAAAATCTCTTCATCAAGAATGATGAATCTTAACCAATTGAACTAATTACTTGTTGTTAAAATCGTTTTATTAGATAGCCACCCCCCTTTATTTTGTAAAAGGAAAGTCAAGAGGCACTCCTCCCATACCATAGTGACTCAAACCAGCAGCGTTGCAAAAACTGATATTTGGCTTGAATTATACAAACTACAAACATTAGAACAACTTTTGTATAAATCTTCATGTTGCTTGTTTTAGATAAGCTATTAATAGTAGAAAATTAGCTATTCAGGGAACAACAAATTAATGGATAATAACACAACAAAAGCTTCTAGTATATGTCAGGAGGAAATTGTCCCTGAATAGAGCTATTTTCTTGTGCCCGCTGTAGATGAAGCCTTAATGTGTAGTTGTTCAACTGCATCCAGAAAATGTTATAATCAGTTTGTTTCCCCCTCAAGCACTACAACTACAGGCTTACAGCTAAGACCTTAGGCAGAGAAGGTTTGAAATACAGAGATGAACCAAACTTAAATATGAATTGAGCTAATGGTAACTTGTACAGTAAAATGGCAACACAAATCGAACATCATTACTTACATACCATATAATTGTCACCCTAGCAGTCTAGCCAAATCTTTCTTTACCACAAAAAGGATATTGACCATGTACGGAAAGAAACTGTTACTAAATTGAGAAGGTAAAAATACAAATACCTCTAAAGTTCGAACTTGTTCTAGGTATTGGCTGAGTGTGAGCTTTAAGTGTTGTACTTCTCTTTCCTTTCCCTCTTGCTCTAAGTTGCGTTCATGCTGAATGGCCACAGCTCTCCTCAAAATTTGATTTTTATCTAACAAGCTCTGCAAATGTTCCTTCAAGGAAGCATACTCAATCTGTGTCATGGTCATGTCCCGCAGAAACCAATCAGTGTGTTAATGATGGGATTGAGGCAACAGACAAATTGGCCCTGAAGAAAGCTAGTTGAAAACTTAGAAGTTTTAGATTACCTCCTCAGCAGCCCTCTTATTGGCAGTTATACTTCCCTCAAACACTTCTAAAATCCTGGCAGCACGCCCCCTAGCATCATCAATATTGGGTGCACTCATCATCTCATGCACAAACAAATCCACCCACTTGGGACTATCAACCGCATTTCCATTTTCAAACTTCTGTTTGATATTACTTGCATTTTCAACATTATGCTCTGAAATTTGACTACCTGGTTCATAGGGAAAGCACAAAATCCACTGTAAGTTCAATGGAGACATGACATACATGCTAGCTCGATGAAAAGACATAGATAAATCAAAAGCAACTAAGCAAGAACAAACAACTTACCCTCAAAAGGAAGAACAGTACAATTTCCAAATCTCGCAGAATCAAAGCTATGTGGTTTATTTCTTTCTTCAAGATCGGAGGAAACATCACTTAAACTCTCCCTAGGATCTTCAATCTTACTGTTATGATTTCTGAGACCGGATGTTATTAACTAAACACAGAATTATCAAACAAGATTAGCACATGATAAAGGTTTTAAACAAAGAATACAGCATGCCAACAAAGCAACCTCCTTCTAAGAAACAAAATCTAAGTTAAAGCATTAACAATAATTTCAAAGCCATTTCTACCGAATAATCAAAATTTCATAAGTATATATGCAAACAAAAGCCTAATAAAACACGCTAAACCAAACACGGATTAATAATAGTATGAGTTTCTAGTACAATAAAAAAAAAGATATGAAAAAGAATAACAAAAAGAAAAACATTTAAACAGAAAAGAACCTCAGAATCCAAAGCAGGGAAGATTTGAAACAAAGTTGAAACTGGGTCATCAGGTCTGGACCCAGCATCCGACGATGGATCCGGAGATTCAAAACTGGAACACCTGAATCTCTTGGGAGACGATCCGAATATTTCTTCAAATCCCACCCTTTTCCCACAAACCCCTGCAGACATGGCTTCTTTTAGAACCCTATGTAAGGGGTTTAAAATTTTATCCTCAAATCACCAATTTCTTTTACTCAAAAAGAAATTAAAAACACTTCGATCTGAAAGTAGAACCCTTATTATATATTGGGTTCAAATGAATTGAACATTTTCATTTTAAATTTAATTCATTTTCGTATAAATCCTATTTTATCTGATTTTTTTCTGTGTTTGCTGTTAGGTTGACAGGGAACCCTAGGAGATTGATGAGGAAGATAAAAAGAAAGTGTGGGGTCCGTTTAGGCTTTTTTGCGTCATGGGAATCTGATGTTTTTCAACCATTGAAGGTTTTTTTCTTTTTTTTAAGTGAACGGTAGATGCAAGAAAGGTACTAGGAACCAGGGAGTTGAGTACTTGAGTTGCTTTCTGTTTGATTCGGTGTATCTCGGAGTATCGGTTTGGATATGATACACTGATTGACGGTCCCGATGAGCGTGACTTTCTGTTAAAATTTATTAATGTTAGAAATATTGTTTTGGCAACCATTAGCAACCTGTGGCTGTAGTTTAGTGGTAAGAATTCCACGTTGTGGCCGTGGAGACCTGGGCTCGAATCCCAGCAGCCACAATAAGTTGGTTTTTGTTTCCGAAACTATCTCGTTTAGAATCCAACTCTCGCAACCTCTCTTGTTTAAACGCTGTCACTAGTTTGAGAGGTCTGACTATTTGGGAATTCTACGGGATCGTTTTCTTCATTAACTCACAAGCTGTCATTGTAAGAGTTCTAAATTCTACTATTAAATCTTTTCTTTTTAGCTACTAATATTTCATAATCGTTTTTCAGCATTATAATACAATTCCCATTTCCCAAATTTCTACATCTTTAATTTCTTCTCTCCAATTTTTGGATTACGTTTTTCAGATAATTAAGATTGTAATTTCCGTTTATTTGGTATCATAATCACCGAGTATTAACTGTTAGGTTTTGATTTTCGGTTCCATGATCGTTTAGTTGAAGAAAGATTCAATCTTTTCTCCCCTAATTGTCCATGACTGATCCATAATTGCTTCACTATATTATTACAATGTGTTGAATTCGAGTGTGTGGCAGTTTTACTCATCATTTGGGTTTTAAATCAATCGTTGTAAGTATTCATTATTTGATTTCTTTTTCTGGTTGTTAATCGTTTATTTCGTTCTTTCTTTACTTCATTTGGCTGCCTGATATGCCTACAAAATAAGAAGAAAAATATGTTCTGAAACTGATTCGTTCTGTTATCGTTGCTTGTATTATGTCAGATGATTGACGATCAAGACCTTGACATCTTTGCAAATTTCCTCAGAATCTTTTTTTTTTTTCGTTCTGGTTATAGCATATCATTAAGTGATGGCTGATCCAAAATACGAAGGCAAGTGAGGATTTTTGCACTTTTTAAAAGTGTCTGCAATGGACATTTAGATGATAGTTTTGTAGACCGAGTTGTTTCGGAAATGGAGACAAATCATTGTTGTTAAAAACCTTCAACAACTTATTGCTATAAATGTCGTCTTATTGCCGATGTTTAGCTTGAGATGTATTTATATCTGTTTATTTTGTTTCTGGTTTACATGCACAAGTTCTCAAGCGCTTAAGCAGCAATTGATGGAAACTGACTTCCCCAGGCAACTGCTTTAAACATATAGCCTTTGAGGCAGCATTGTGTTGGACAGGCAGCTGATGTCTTGGAGCTGAATTTGGGGTGGCATTTTAATGGAGGGTAGTCATTCATTTGATCCATGCTGTCTATCCAGCCTTAAGGAATCTGATAATTCCTGAAGAATTCTGTAAATTGCATTCGATCCTCCTTGATAGGTCTATACATAGATTTTGAGAAACCTAGTTCACATATTCACTTTTGTTGTCTCTAATCTAGTTGCAGAGGAAAAAGAAAAAAAAAGTTGTTTTTGCATTGTAGTGATAGAAATTGAGGATCATGTATTCTTTTTGTACCTAAGGTTATGGGTAGCTGGGTCGCTGCAAAGTCACTGCTCTGTGCAGCTAGCAATTGGTGGACAGGTGTTGTGGGAGTTGTATTTTTTCACCTGGCATTAAGCTTAGATAACAGTTAATGCAAATTTACATGCCTTGCTGGGTTCTCCATTTCAGTAGTTCCGCTATTTCTTTCTCCATTTCTGTGGCTTCTCTTTTCAAATTATTAAGACAGAACCCTAGGCTGCTCAGAAAGAGAACCATTTGGCTCTTGAGGTTCTCTTCAACTTCATTACCCTCGGTACCCTCGGTCTTATCCGCAACTCCCATTGTATTTTGAAGAAAAGACTTTCCGATCTCTGCAATGCTGTTTTCTTCAGGCCCCAAACGTGGAGAGACATCTGTATTTGGTGATTTTCCCAACTCAAGGTCAGGGGATACGTTTTTCATTTGCAACTCTTTTTCAAGCTCTGCTAGGGACTTGACTAGTAACTCCTCATCCAGGCATTTCAGCAAAGAGCCAGTTTTGTCCATGAGATGTACTACATCATTGTTTATCTGTTCTCGGATCTCCTCCCAATTAATTCCCAGCCTCTGGGATTCTTGTGAGAGGAATTCAATTTGATGGATCGTAAAGGTTAATAAATCTGCCATTTTGTAAACAGACCTTAGAAGCTTATTATAGCTACTGCAATGAAAAGGCAGGAACCAGAAATTAGGCTCCAATTCAGCTTCTGCAATGAAATTCTCCAGTTCCCTGACGTGATATTTCAGCTTCTTCTGCTTTTCTCTCGTCTGTTCTCCCGAAATTTCCTTTTGGTTGGTGTAAAGAGCTATTACCTGAAAGCAATCTTGAAGTGTTCCTAAGGTCCTTGAAAGTTCTCTTTTTGCTAGGGTTGCAGATCTTGCTGGATGCAAGAGAATCTCCACTGTGGTGAAACAGATTAATCCAATGGTAGCCTCTGTGATTCTAGCAATTGCAAATTCACTAGGAGTGCCATAATTTTTCCTTCCCAAGATTAGTAATGCCCCTATAACCGCTGCAATCCCACCAGCTTGGCCATACATGCGACTATGCCTCAGAAAACTGGTGAAAATGATCCAAGGAAGTAGGAGTAAGAACCTAAAATCCTTAAGCTTTTGAAAAATAAAGCAACATAGTATTCCATATACTGATCCCATTGCCGTCCCCTGTGCTCGGGCATTAGCCACTGTAAATGTTGCTTGTCGCCCTGTTACAAAACTTATGGCAACGGTTAGTCCTGACCAATATCCGTTCTCTTTGTTATATATCAAACCAAACAGCACAGCAAGACCTAGAGAAAGTGAGCACTTGATTGCAAAAACCAAATTTTCACTGGCTAGTCGCTTGCTGAAACTCAGCAGGCTGCACCAGAGCTGTTTCACTCTACCTTTTCCCTGCTTCTTTGACTGACTTGATTCTTGTATTTTAGCTTCCTCACCATTCTTTACAATGCACTCAGGACCATCTTGAAGGAGTTCCATACAGAAGAAGAAGAAGAAGGGTGACAGATCTTCATGGATTGTTGAAATGGCTTTTAGGTTCCAGGAGGATCTGTCTGTATATTCTCCCTTCGTCTCTGGAGCTGTTGCTGCATCAAAAGGCACGGAACATGTAGCTTGTTCTAGTTTTAGAGCTATCTGTTTCTTTGAAATTTGTAAAACACCTTGGAGCTCTTCATTCATCATTCTGACTGGGAAGGAAGTGCAAGTGGTCAAGGCCAATTCCATCCCTTGAATTTGCATTTCCATCTCTTGGAATTTCTCTCCAGGATCCGAGCGCTTAGGTTTCAAGAATCTCAACCAAGGTTTCTCCCAAAGCATGCCTTCCTGTTAACAGAAAACTCCTCAATGACGTTACTTTGCAAACAAAAGCTCAACTCTGAGAAGAAGTGCAGACAAAGATAAAAAGGTTTGCCCTGCTCGTCTTAGCTTACATGTTGGTCTTTGATACTTCGAAGAAGCTTGGCTCCTGTTTTAGAAAAAAACCTTGCTTCTGTTATTAAATTATGTGCTGTCATGTTGTCTTGTGCACAGAAAGCTTCCACTAAGAGATTTAACCTGCTCGAAGCATTTTCTGCATAGAATCTGCATGTCTTTTTGACCTGTACAGCAATAATATTAGACAAGGTTTTTGGTACAATCACTACTAAAACTCTTTATCAGTTAAATTAGATACCCTGATTGAACCAAAGACCTATTATAGTCACGAAAAGGCTTAATGATAGTTGCAATATTACATCGCATGTAACATGCATGCTTAATATGAAGTTGGCCACTGGGGATATAGCTTCGAAAATCGAAAGGAAATGTTGAATATTACAAATAAGATTAATGAATAATTGGGGCCTAATCCTACTTTAGATATCTGACTAATTCCTATGATCGTCACTGGCCAACATGCAATAAAGAGCGTGTTGTCAAAGGGGGTAGAAGATATTTGAGAATTAAAATATCAGTTCAACTTGGAGCATAAAGTGATGCAATCAAATAGAAAGAATAGAGATATACTTTGCGAAATGGCAATATTAAGAATCAGATGCTTCATGATTTTGTTCTGTTTTTCTCCTTCCATGTTTATAAATAATGAAATACCATGCTTTTCAATGTGTCTTTTATCTACTTACACGCCTTAGTTTTAACAAAGAAAAGAAATTAACATAATCATCATCATATGTAGATGGAAGGAAAAAATAGGATACTGGACAAAAGGGTTGACTGCTTGAGCTAGGTCATCTTTTTTATGGTAGTACCATTGTCGATCGGCATCTGCATAATTATTCTTGCTGCACTAGGGTGAGAAGAACCATGAAAGGTGATCTTAAATGTCGCCTACTCAATTATGCTTATGGCAAATACATAAATATTGATGAAAATGGATGCACGGCCAAGCTAGTAACTCTCAAAAAATCTAATCAGCAAAGATATCATACATCCAATTTGCAGTTCATCTATCAGCTTGCTACTTACCTCACGGTAGGCTAGGTGAGGGTATGGAAACAACATAGCTAGAATAGAAGCCAAGGCACCAAGAGAAGTACTCATTGCCACATGAATTGGGTGGATTATGACTCCAGTTTCTGCACCTTCAATAACTGCACCTACATAAACAATCACAGTCTGCCCGAAGGCAATTCTCTTTAGCATCAAATGAGTGGAATCAGGCAACGCGATCAGGAATGAACTAAGTGCCACTGCCATAGCAGCTAGTCCACGGCTGAACCTGGACGGTCCAATCAACCAGAGACTCAGCATAGAAGGGAGCATTACTTGAATGCTGGCACATAAAACATTCCAGCAACCTCTCAGGGTATCACCAAGTTTAGCATCTGAGACAATTAAGATAGTTGTCACATAGGAAAAGGCGGGAAATGTTAAGAAACGACGGACTGGTTCTGGCCCGTAGAGGGTGGTGCAACCCACTATGGTGCAGGCTAGCACAGTCCGGAAGGCAGAGCCTAGGCGTAAGCGCCATGGAGCTTGGTAGGTATCCATTGTAGTGCTTGGTGCAGGTTTTCAATTGGGTGTAAAAAAATAAGTTACTTTTGTATGCGAACTAGGTGTGTCAAGAATCAAGATCAGTAGGCAAGAGGCTTTATAGGAAAAGAAAGGCACAGTGTTTTCATAAAGGGCAAAAACCTGTTAACTGTACTAATTTGAAGCCTGGAAGATTAATAAGGATTAACAGCTGTGTCTAAATTAATGGAGTGAATACACTCAAGCCAGCGGGATTTTTCTGCCGATCATGAGGTGATTGATTCCACTTTTTGTTTTCTTTTTGAAGCATCAATTCGAAGACTTTAAATAGACCCCAGGATCTAGAATTTTCAACAATCCAACAATTAAAATAATTACTTTGAATTAGCAGGCCCGATCAAAACATTACGAAAAGTTCTTGCAAACTTTGAACATCTAACATGGCCAATGACCAAATCTAAAGTCAGTGTCATTTTAAGCAATGTAAGATTAGTACATGTAATATATATATATATGTATATTATATATATATATAAACATAATTATATATATTTGTTTGTTTAGTGGAAGTGAAAGCGAAAACATAATTTGAATTATTAATTGTAGAATAAAATTATAATACAAAAATTATTTGTTTTCACAATGTAAACCCCTCACACCATATGCAAGAATTTCTCTTGAGAGTTGTACAATGCTTACTCGATTGTTCTCTTTCCTTTTTTTTCTATTGTTTATGTGAGAAACCTTTTTCTTCCTTCTCTATTGTTTTTGGCCGAATGCCATTCCCTTTTGTTAGGAGATGGGTGGCATTAACTGCGCATGACAATTTCACATTTACATAAGAAAAAAAATACTAAAGGCAGTTGTTACATAGGATGTAACCCACCCATTATGGGTGGTTATCCCAACATCTCCTACTCGCACAGGATGGATGTCAAACTTTTATGATCTCGAGAATATTTTTTTTGTTTTTTACTTTGGGTTTATACAAGAAAATAAGTTGTGTGATCAGTATATTTTGAGAGCTCAATTATTATACGACTGTTAAGTGTATATAGCAGCTTATAATCACATTTAGTCATTTATAAATTATTAGCTATTTATAGTAACTCTCAAGTATAAATAGAGTTAGTATGCAGTACCTTAGACCTAGGGTTCACAACGGGTCGGGTCAGGATGGTTTTTGCTCACCTCGAACTCGACTCGACTTTATATCTGTTAAACTCGTACCCAATTCAAAATTTTTTTATTTTTTTTCATATCCGACCCGATATTGTACAAACCGTATCTGACTCGACCCGACCAAAAATTAATAAAATATTATTTTTAAAATATAAATATTTAAATATATAATTATATAAATGTATATAAATAAAAAATTAATTTAAAAATTATTTTTATATAATATCGGGTTGGGTTGGGTCGGGTTTGTCTAAAACCTGAACCCGACCTAACCCTGATTTAGTCTTAGCATTACCCGATCCGACTCAAAACCAGATTTTTTTTTAAAAAATAAAAACCCTATAAGGTTAGGTTGGGTCGAAGCCCACCGGAGGCGGGTTGGGTTGCCCACCTTACCTAAACCCATTCAGTTACATTTCAAGTTTCTCATGATATCTCTTTTATCATATTAGATGATATATTTGTGTATTTATAATTATGCTTGACATTTTAAATATAATTGGTCGATCTATGAATATAACCAAATGTGACACAAGAATGATCTTCTTTTATTCTAAAATCTCATCATTTCAATTCAACTGTTATCCATATATATCCCATTAGATAGAATCATTTATAACCATTGGCAATAATCCAAGATAGCTAACATTGAATTAAAACTTTAAGAAACAATTAAAAGTCTTTAAGGGTACTAAATATGAGATCCTTTGATCTCAAGGGTTTCACACAACAAGAAATAGAGATCCATTTTTTTGTTACTTTTGTTGGTCGAACAATGTACATGTGGCATGAAATACATGCTACGGTATTACTTTTCTTTTTTCGAGAAGCTTATGTCTTTCATTATTTATATATAATACCATACATGTGATAGTTCACATACTCCCAATATCTAAATTGAGTTTATAACTTTTCTTGATTTCACATAATTAACAAGACTTTCACTTGGTATATTAAGACACATAAAGTGAATTATACGTTATATTCATTTTCAGTTATAAATTTTAATATTGAGTGACCTCATTTTGATCCCTTATCAAGGCGATTCCATTTTAAGTTTAGGCTCTTAATTCATAACTTAAAACTAATTTATCTCTAAGATGCCAAATTGTTGAGGTGATTACCTGTGTGAGAGAGTCAATCATTTGTCTGACAGATTTTTTAAAATATATCATACATACACATATACATATATATATATATACATATACATATATATATATATATGCACATGCATTACAAAACAAAGTACTAAACTTTAATGGTATTAATTGTATTCAATATAAGTTAACTCAAATGGAAAAATATCATATATTGTTTATATAAAACTGTTCAATCAATAATATACATCAACATTTATGCAATCTTAGATATCTCATGTGGCTATTAAATACATATATAGGTATGGGCTTAGTAAATGGATCTATAATCATTTTATGTGTAGAAATGTACTGTATGTTAACTTTCTTTTGTGAAACCATATCTCTCATGTAGTTATACTTGGTATCTATATATTTGGTCTTAGAATGATATTTGGGATCTTTTGTGAATGCGATTCCAGCTTGACTATTGTAATTCATCAATACTTATTTGGACTCATTCTTTTCAAATCTCAAATGATTTAAGAATCTTTTAAGCCAAACAACCTCTTGCACTATCGCTGAAAATGTTACAAATTCAGTTTCTATTATGGATAGTGCTATACAAGTCTATTTCTTAGTGCTCTATAAAATAGCCCCATTATTTAGTAAGAAAACATAGCCATAGCTAGATTTTCTTTTATATAAATCTCCTTTCTAATTGGCCTCCATATAGTTAACTAAATGTAAATCATTTCCTTGATACCATAACGAATAATCCACAGTGCTTTTTAGATATCTCAATATCCTTTTAATGGTTTCTAATGTGGTTGACCTGGATTGGATTGATATTTGCTTATCATGCCCATGACGTAGTAGATGTCTAGCCTTGTACACATCATAGTATACATAAGGCTTCCAATAATACTAGAGTAGGAAACTCTTGCCATTTGTTTTTTTCCTTGTAGAGTGATTGCTCATTTTTGTTAGGCTATAAATGCATAAGTTGCTATCAAATAATAAAAATCGAAGTACAATTTGTCACTTCCTCAAAGACTATATGATGGTGTCAAATCAAGTACTGAAGTTATGCCTTTCAACTTTATATCTAGATGGCTAAAATTATTGTGGATTGAAATAAATACAAAGAAGCTTGATAATGTAAAGGCCAAAAAACCAAACTAAACAAAATAAGAATTTTGTTAGCAATGGTGTAGGTTGAATGAAACAAAGTAAAAGAAAACAGAATTACAATAATCTTGGAACTTTAATGGAACTGAAAGCTTTGAAACGAAAAGTGCAAGTGGCTGCATGTGTTTAAAAGAACAAAAGTGATTACAAGATAAAAAGTGAAAACTGAATGCTTTGATAAAAATGAAAGTGAACCAAAACTAGATTGAGTGCACAATGAGTAATCAAAACTAAAAGCTTTATAAAGAATAGTAGATTGCTCAAGATTGATATAAAAAAATAGTTTGCTTCAGAAGAAAGAAATATTGCATAAACATAAAAAACACTTATTGAAAGAAGTTGAGAAAACAATAACAGAGGCTAAGCTATCACCTTAGCCGAATGGAAAAGAAAATAACTAAAGAAAAGCTAAACTAAAGAGAAGGATAGAAGAAAGGATTCATGATGCTTTACAAGTGAAGTTTATGACTTATTTATAGTATAAGGTTCGGCTAAGGGGGGACAAACCTAGACATTCTTAATTTTGGAATATGAATAATTAAGGTCACATTGATCGAGGAATCTCTATGAATGTGATTGATTTTGATTAGCTGAATTTTGCTTTTACCTTCAATATTTATGCCACATTTTCTTCACACATAATTTGCAATTTAAGAAAAAGATTCGACTAAATATTACAAATCATATATATGGGATTCAACAAATCAGCATTTAAAGACCATATCTAATTGATTTTTCACTAATCCTAACATTCATTCAAATTTATGAGAATCACTTTTGCATTCCATTTTAGCTTTGGTTAAATATCATTTGGATCCCATAGGCTTTTTGGTTCAATCTCATGTTGGGCTGGATATATTTCCACCTTTGTATGGATCACTCATCTTTACATGCATGGCCTCATTTTATCACATTTGCATAGTTTACATGGATTTTAGCTTTTAAATTCAAAGTAAATTATTTTTTCATGCAAACCTGAAAATAACAAATTTACATCATTATTTAGCAAAATTTACGAAAATTTTTAAAATTTTAATTATTAAATGATAAGCAAATAGCTATAAATTATAAGGTCACCATGGAGTCTTAGGACACATTCTCTGTCTAAGGTTTTCACCTTTTTTCATATGAGTATCTATTGGCTTGCAGTCTTACATATTGAATCGTTTCAAAACTTTTTTAATGTACTACTCTTATGAAAGAACTAACAACTTATTGGAACAATCTTTTATGATTTTTACACCATGTATGTAAGCTATTTCGCCTATGTCATTCATTTCAAAATTTAAGGACAACCAGGTTTTCACATTAATGATATACTCCTTATCATTACCAGTCAATAGTATGTCATCCACATAAAATGACAAGATCACAAATTTAAGTTTGTCTTTTTTGACATTTACATAATGGTCCTTATCAATCATGATAAAATCATATGAAATTTTCGCTTGATGAAATCCAATATACTATTACCTAAAAGATTATTTAAAACCATAAATCGATTTTAATAGCCTGTATACTTTATGTTTTTGACCTTTGTCAATGAAACCTATAGGTTGTTCTATATAGATTTTCTTTTCCAGTCTTCCATTTGAAAGGTAGTTTTCATATCCATTTGATGTAACTCTAAATCTAAATTGGCTACAATGGTTAGAATTAAGCGTATTGAGGTAAATTTCATAATAA